CAGATTGGGACTAAACTATTTTCGTTTCAAGTCCTCTGCAGTAGTAGGAAAAAATATGATGTCAGTCTCATAGCTCTTTATGTCTGTAATTGCTAGTTAATACAATTCCGGTCAGAGTTTTTGGAGAATCACTTCTAATTGTTAGACAGACAAGAGACAGCCTCATCCATTAGCACTAATCCTATTTCACAAGGAGCTCAGTGTTTGAGCTGTTATACTGATTTCCTCCCTGATTCATAACAACTATTGCATCTTTATCCTTCTCTAAAATTGGAGGAAGGTGCGGCTTAGTTGTATGGATAAAGGTGGTATTACAACACTTGCTCCTAATGTGGTCCTTATTTCTTTCTCTACAGCGGAGGTCATATTTCTCTTAAAAATTAATCTTGGAGAAGAAGAAAGCCGTGCTTATTGGGTACGGTAGCATTTCTGACAGTCCTGTTTTGTAATATGTCGGTATGCTATGGAGAAAGGGGGAGGAGGGGGCGTGAAAAGACACAATCAGCTCTTCATACAAATGGTGGAGCCCAACTTGCAGATTAGTCGTTTGAACATCTTTTACCAGCACTGCTAGATTCACTTCAAATGCCTACGGAAACAGTAATGTAGCTTTTAATGGCTCCTCAATTACTCTGATTTCTTCACCGCTTTATGACGCCCGTTATGCATCCTCTTTCCCCACAACCCAATAAATATTTAACTATACAAAGTGGAGCAGCTCCACAGAAGAAACTGAGACGCTGTCCAGAAGAACTCGGAGCTTGGTGATCGGGAAGGATCCTTGCATGGTGTGTTGGTATCATGAGCTCAGATGCTTCTCTTACCTGATTCCGTACAGGATCTTCAACATAGTGCCCCCCGACCTTGAGCCTACAGCCTAATCTAAGTATAGAATCTATATTTGGCTGGTTTAGATACAGAATGCTACCATGACCAAAGAAATCTTTCTGGGTTTTTTTGGTGGTGTTTTTGGTTTTGTTGGGTTTTTGTTGTTGTTGTGGGGGAAGGAAGGTACTCTTCAAGACTCGAAGTGTTATTGAAACAAATCTGTGGAGATCTACTGCAACGCTTTGGCGCTGGCTATGTTACTGAGAGGTGGTTCTTCCGTGGGGTAATGCACAGAAAAATTTTCTGAAGTTGGTTGGTCAAGCACGTGCTTAACTGCTTTCTTGAACAAGTAGAGGTTCAAACCGTGTCTACGTCCCATTTAATCATGTGCTTAAGTGCACAGAATTGGGTTACTTCCACAAGTCAAGCTCTTTAGCTGTTGTTGTCAACTAAAAGTAGTGACAGTTGCGCAAAACCTGGTAATAGCTGAGGTAGAAGAATCCAGGAGCAGCGAGCCACACCTGCCCTCAAGCAAGCATGCCTTCAGCTTGACCTTGGCTTGGTGTTCCCTGAAGGAAGCGGTTGAGATGCCAAACGAAGTCTAACAGCTTACGTCCTGTATCTGCACTAAACCGTTCCTGAATCAGTACAGCCTGAGATGCCTTGGGTTGCGAAGGTGCAAAATGAAGGGCATTACATGAAAGAAATGGTATGGGATTCATTATCAGCGTATGAGTGACCTCATTTGGAGTCTGTCTGATCATGGTTTCCTGCATAACTACTTTTCACTGATAAAAGGGAAAAGCACACCTCATTTGAGTGGAATGCTTGTGATCTGCAGCTAGAATGGGCAAAGGACAGCTCAAGTATGTGCATTCTTGATGATTACTCTTAATACACAACAAGGGGCGCTTGTCTTGATTTCAGCTCTTCTGGTATAAGCCCCAGGCACTTGAATCAGTGTAACACTTGCCAAATGGCAAAGGACAAAGATATTTTTCCACAGCAATAAGCTTTAGCTGTAGTACTTGAAGTTGAGTATGTACTTTTTGGACGGGGCCCTCCCAACTTTTTAAACTGCAAAGAAGGCGCTGCAAAAAAAGTCACTCAAGTTTTTTGTATATGACTCAGAATTACCTGCGGAATGGGTATGTGGGTAATCATGGCAAACAACTGTAGGAAAACTAGCAATATGGGTGCCTGTGATGAACAGGATTAATTTGTTTTCTTGCTAACCTTGAGAACTATGCTTCCTCTTAAAGGGAAAGGGGGGGGGGAATGAACCAAACCTAAAAACCAGCACATTGCATCAGATGGTTCTAGTCAGATGGCAATAATACATTGAGCTGTCATTTTAAGGACAAAAGTATATAGTAGTACATGTTAAATCCAGCTAAGTACATCTTGTAGTTGAGCACAGTAGTGTTATAAATTCTAAAATGGGCTTATACCCTGGAGAAGTATGAATTGTAGCTGGCAGTTACATTTCTCTTGAAAAAGACTAAACATGTGCATGCATATGGACTACAGGATCAAAATTTTCTGCTTTGAAAGAGAATGATCAATATGAGTTCTGCCAGGAAAAGAAAAAGTGTTTGTTCAGAGGCGTCACAGAGTAGGCTGACAGGAGGTGGAAGCAGCAGAACTTGTGTGGTAGATGTCTGGATTTGGCAGTGATTTAAAATTCAGTCTAAAATAAAGTTAGTTGAGCACAGGCAGAATTAACGTTGAGCCTGTACGCTCTGTTCAGTGTGAGCACATTATGTGAAAAAGTGAAATTTCCATCTGAAATTTTTCAGAAAGCTTGGGCAAGCTTAATGCTGGAGAGGATGGGGTTATGATTTAAAGAAATTAAGGTGAGTTTTTGATTGACTATGAAAGCTATTTAGTTGTTATGGGTTTCACCTACCTTTCTTATAATTTTCAGCTTGTGGTATTGGTTAAGAAAACGCCTGAGAAGCCAGCGTATGTCAAAAGTGGTGGTACGGCTGCAATATGAAATATTTTTCTTTTCAGAACCGGTGCTCGTAAGGCTAGATCTTGGGTAGTTTAAGGATCATCTAAGACAATCATACCTTTTATAGGGTGTATTGTAAACTTTTAAAATTATTTTCAGTTTGAGTATAGACAAGAAGTAATAATGAATGCAATTCAGTCATAGAAGAGCAACGGGTGATGTGTGGAGGGGAGAAATACGAGTTGAGATTCACTTGGGATTTGCAGATGCGGACCCCTGTGGTTGTTGCCCGGTCTCCGTGTATGGGTTATGGAGAAGAACGGGTGCCGTCACCCAGATTTGCGCAAAGCTGCCGCTTCTGCCCGCGTAGCCGTGCTGGGCACCCGTGGGCCGGTTCCAGGCTGTGCCGGAGGCTTTTCCCATCCGGGTGCTCGGCCTCCGGGCGAGCGCTCCTGGGTGAGAAAAGGAGGACGGGACCTCTAGGAGGTTCTGAACTCATGCCTACCTGTTTTTTTTCAGGGCTGGTTGAAAACAAATGCGGTGTATAATGGCACAGAAAACCGTGTTTTTCTGGAAGAGAGCCGTGAGCTTGTCGTGCATACGTTGCTCTCGCTGCTCCTGACTGAAGGGTGTGGTTCTGTTACTGGTTTTGGGGGCTTAAATGTACTGTTGCTCCAGTGTCTTCCAGACGAAACTTGAATTTAGTAGTGCCAATAGCCATTGCTTTGCTGGGATTTCATCTAACAACTGATCAAACCGTTACAGCTCTTACTTACAGCTTACATCGCTGTTTCAGGCTTTGATTTTCAGCTACGTTTTTAGTCCTCTTCCCGTAAGCAAAAAGCCTGAAAGACGTGATCCTCATAAAGCCAAGGAAGCAAACAAAAACCTAAAATAAAGACATTCAAGCCCCTTTATACCAAGCCCAGGTTTATGAGTTTGCAAACCAACTACAGCGTTTAGACTTGCTGGAGGCAGGAGCCTAGTGGGGCTCCTGCTTGGCAAATAGCGTGCGCCGGTCAGTCTCTTTGTTGCCGTCGTTATATATTGCTTGCTGGTGTTGCCAAGTACTTCTCGAAAGCCATCTATTCTGTCACGGAAGCTTGTGCTTTAATTTGCAGTCATTTCTACAAGTGCTTTAGGACAGTAGTTAATGTTGTACGTAACCAAAACTTTCTATACAGCGTAGAGAATGGCAGGACTGCAGGATGGATTTATTGATTTTTGTCATTTGGACAAACATGAACTACAATTCCAATCCCGCTTTGAAGCCTCAACTTAATCACTTAAGAATTACAAATGTTGGCTGCTTCTGGTTGTTGACATGGTTATCGTTAGGAATTTGAAGCTTGGAAGGGAAAAACCTTGAATACAACTATTCCTTTCTAAAACGAAGCGTGGTAAAAGCAAGGAAAGAGCACCAAGTTCTGAAATGGTTTTGATGGCTCAGGAGGAAAAGGGCGGGCCCGTAAAGGAGGGTGAAATTGAGTAGTGAATGAGCGAAGAGGCAAGTATTGGTGACAGCAAGCTTTTTTCTGCTTTCTCATTGGTAACTAGTAACTAGTTCCTCAGACAGGCAGTGGTACCTACTGTTATACGTCATCGTTTAATCTCCAAAGCCATGCGAGACTAATAACAGAACTGAGAAGAAACTCAGTGGTTAAAATACGGATCCTACGGAGATTGGTGGGAAAGCTCTACCTGAGTTCATAGAACTAGTCTGTCAACTCGAGTCTCGTGGTTTGCTGTCCTGTGCTCTGTCTGCTCAAAATGTGGGTTTTCTTTGCCAGTAGCTGTTAAGAAGTTGTGCAAATTTCTGTACTGAAGATCACGTTGGGGTACTCTTCTTGAATGTTTTATATTGTTATTACTGCGACTGCAATTATGGCTCTTTTCCCAGAGTAAATACACAGAATGTGGAAATCAAATTATTGATGGCATCAAGTAGCTTTTATTTAGAAATCATTTACTGGGGAGGAGAAAAGCAATAGTAAGAAAAAAAAAATCTTAAATTCAATTACTGAATGCTTAGCTGAAGCAGAAGTGGAAACGTGTCATCTAAACTAATAATATAACCAAAATGCATTACCCTAATAGTCTTACCTAATTTAAAACTACTGAGAACTTAGAGGGGAGCGGTGGAGAGTAAGGTATGTATTCATGATAGGCTCGAGACCATGGAAAACTAATGTATTTTTCCTTTTTTTTTTTTTAGGTAAGTAACTGAAGGGGACATGAAGAATTGACATTTAAATGGCCAGCATGTTGCAAAAGGTATTTCACTTTAGACGGAAGAGGAATGCACGAATAATTCATTTGAGTACATATTTAATGAATATTTGCCTTTTTTTTTAAAAAAAAAAAACAACAACAAACCAGTTGATTAAACTTTCTTTTGTTCACTGAATGATTGAAAGAAGTAAAAAATGAGCAAGCTCGTGTTTGATGTTCATGCTATACTTGAGTGGCATCAGCATCCAGTGAGAAACTGGACGCTATTCTCAACTTTTTAATGTACGTAACCCATGCCAAGCGACCAAATGCCAACCTGTGTTGGTCTTTCTACCTCCGTGGTTTGCGGTGATGCTATTGAGCACGCAGGTCAAGTGTTCGTGGTGCTTCGCTAGCAGGTCAAGGTAACGCACGCTGCACCATTCAGTACTGGGAAGTAGCTGTGGGCAGGGAGTTTTCTTGAACTCTGCTCACTGTTGAATCAAATGACACTATCTTCATGACAAAGATGAACTGGTTTATATATTTTTTTTAATACAAATCCGTTGAGGAGTGCCGCACTATAATTGTTTGCATTTGCAAATAATATTCATAGAGCTCAGCAGTGACTCTGGGGAGCAGGTGAATTACTGAACAGGATTTACCTTTATTGGTTTTAACTTCTTCCAGACCCACAGCTAGGCAGTAGGAGTTTCCTTGCTGAATGACTTACAAGACCAATATAAAACACATCATTTACTCTCTTTCCATTAAAATGCTCTCTATTGTCCCTGCCTTTTTTTTTTCTTGTTAGGCTTTTATGACCGTATGTATTCCTTCACGAACTAATGCACTCTACGTGAGTGTGCAATTTCTACATGCTAAGCTTATTCAGTCACTATGATTTCTATTCCACGCTAACGCTATAACCTCTTCATCCACTGGAAAAAAGGGTATTAAAATCCGAGCGGGACAAACCTAGCGGGGAAGGAAAACCCTCCGTGCAGTTTGCTGCAATATATGGATACAGATTTGATGGGTCAGCAGTAGTGCAAAGTTCCTGTCTGGAATTTATCTGCTGAAGGATCTGTCCTGGATTCCTGAAGACACAAGGTACAGCTGTGTTTGCTGTGTCGTCTTGTTTTTTGAAACATCTGGCAAATTCTGTAGCTTGACAGTATACTGGGCGTATTCACGCCAGTAAACTTTTAAAGAGCAATTTGGTGCTTGTAAGAATCACTGAAGTCTCGAGGTGCTTGGCAATTTACTTTTCTGTTTAATGCAAGGAGTACTAAAGAATATTAGGTTCATACAACGGTAGTCAGTATTGATAACTGTAGGCAACGTAGTGTCAGTTTTTGGGCCAAAACCCCATGCTTGTTGGATTTGGTCTTTGTAGAACTAAGAGGGTAATTCTGCATGCTAAATCCAACTAACGTCAATGGAGAAGAGTCAAGTTTTGGAACTGGAGCCAAGGGAGGATGTAATTTTGTTTTCCGATATATGTCTGCCTGACTCTAGAAGAGTTGGGAAGGAGCTGCATAACGCCCAATTAGTTCAAAACTGACTCGTCGGTTACTCCTGATAACTAGACTTATAAGCATTGGGAGAGATTTGGTTTACTGAAATGAATACCAAATTGGATCCTACACGTTGTTTTGGAAAGTTGAGAATTGGCTATGCTCTATAGCCTGGTTTCACCTGGAGAACTGTGTTGATGAATCTATAGTGGGACGCTTCCGTATTTTTATTTCTGTACGTTGGAAAGTTTGATTCATAGGTGCTCAGTAACAAATGCAACACTACTTTTCTTCTTTACTTCAACGAGTAGGGAAGGTCTTTGTTTTACACCACTCGGTTGCTTACCAGGACTGGTATTCTATCAAGTAATGGTGATACGTAGGTAAAGAAGTTGTCCGAGGAAAGGAAACTTGTTGTTTCCACAGTGTGAACAATTGATCCTCTTATCAAATATTTTGGAGCCTGGGATGACCTCTAATCCACGCTGATTCTGAGAACTCAGCTATTTGAGTGCGTCTCACGCTCTGTTGGTGGTATTTTCCTTTAGATAAATTCATTGTCATGTTAGTGAAAAAGGCTGGAAGCGGAGGACGTGTATGCTTGTATTAAGATTTTTACAGTGAGCAAGGGAATTTCTAGAAGTGACAGAAGGATCTTAGGTCTGCACCTTACCTTTTTTTTTTAAATTTTTCCTCCCTAAAAAGTGGATGCAGCGCTTCAGGATGTCCTCTTTGTTAGCGTACATTAAAAGTTAAAACTGCATCTTCTGAGGTCTGTGTCTGAAATGCTTGTATGTCACAAAACATGATGTCCCTGCCCATGATGGGGGGGTTGGACTAGGTGATCTTTGAATGTCCTTTCCAACCCAAACCATTCTGTGATTCTATGATTCTGTGAAAAGTCATAGTTCTAGCTGTACTCCTCCTTTCCTTCCAGTTGCATTGCTGTAGCTTAATATTTATTTTTGTGCTGTGTTTAAAAAGGGTACAAAATGCATGTCTTCAAATTCCGTCTAGATATACGGTGATTTTAAGTTGTGACTATTATCTGCCTGTTTGAATTTTCTAAGGAACAGATATCTACTTCTGAAAAAACCAGCATAGCATTTCACATTAAATGGCACTTTTGTTGGCAGCTTCAGGGGACGTGAAAGTTTGAATGGGCACAATGAATAAATTACCCTTTGACTTTAGACTGTTCCTTCAAAACGAGAATGAAACCGCGTATGGTGAGGTTGCACTGCTTTTTGCCTCCTTGTATTTCTTTGTAGGTATGCGAGAGGCTCATTTTCTTCATGATTAATTTAATCCATCATGATGTGGCCTGTGTTACAAAATGTAAGGAAAAGCATTTCTATAGTAACCAAAATGAGCACGAAGAAGTCACAGTTATTATCTTTTGGTCTCCTTGGGCTCTGTGACTACGAAATGGGAGAAATTCCAGGGTCTCTATGAAGACTTAAAAGTATTTCCCTCCCGCTATTGATTTTTACATGGAATGCTTTCAGATGCTGGGGCAATTACCAGCTAAGCTAAATAAAACTGAAGAGGGACTGCTCCGTCAGAAATGGAAGCTAATGGGCCGTAATGCACACAGGATAATTCAAGTGTCCAGCGCTAGTTTTGAACCTAGACTAGGGGAGGGAGGGAAAGGGCTGACACTTATTGCATATGTTTTGAAGTGACTGCGAACCTGCTCCGTAGTTCTTACCTGCGGCTCTAACGTCTGTGGCGCAGAGGCCTGCGTTGCTGCAGAGGCGGCAACGCCAAGGTAGAAGTGGTAATTTTTATTTCCTTTGTGTACGCAGAGCCTTTTAGCTGAAGAAGCTGATGCAAGCTGGGCTGCCTCCTTGTCTGCTCTTGTTTTGCTCAGACTGTAATGTCACAGCAGTTTGTCTCATTAATTTGTAGCCATGAGAACAAATTACGATCTGCTGTAACGATAATTATGGTAACTAAAAAGGTCATAAAACTGATAGGGAGGAAGTTGTTGTGTATTCTAAATATCAAAGCTGTGCAATTAGTATTTTTCCCCAAACATGTTTAATTAAAAAAAAATATGGAAGTGTGTGTGTCTCTAGATATGTATGTATATATATGCGCATGTGAATGGGTATAGGGTGTTCATATTCATGATTTGGTGTTAGCAAACGTTAATGAATCTCTCAATTCTCAGAGGGCAGCCAGCTGATGGAGCTGAGTTAAAAACCCAAAGCACTTGGATAAACTCCTGCACAGCAGTAAATGATAGACGCTTCCTGCTACGTTTTAGCTCTTTTCTTTAGCACTCAGACATAAACAGCCATTTTTTTAGATGGAAACTGGGTGCTGGCTAAGGACTCTGTTTACCGTTGGTTACAGAGGAGGTTTTTAAGTGAACGCGAACAGCGGAAACAAAAAAGAAACTGAGCAGTGCCTCTTGCGAGCGATGCGAAGCTTAGGTTGGTGGCTACGGAGTGGCTGAGAACCTGCAGCTGCGCCTTCTGACGGGAGGAATTGCTTGCGGGCGAGTGCGAGGTGACGTGCAGCGGAAGAAGTCGCTGGGGTCCCCGGTTAGTACCTCCCCGAGGAAAGCAATTAATGAGTTTCGGACTGAGCCCTTAGTCTTCCGAAACTTTAAAATGGAGTAGGAGGTGGAAAACCTGGGGTTTGCCTTGTGTAAAGAATTGGACAAATATGGAAACGGAAGCCTGATGTAGGATCCTCTAGAAATAATGTTTGACTTTGGACACCTGTCCCGGAAGGTATCGGAAACAGAACAGCAGAAAGCGTCCGAGGAAGGCCAGGACCGTCCATGAGATGCACGGATGGTGTTTTCAGAGGAGGAGGAGGAAGAAATGATCCTCCCGTTTAGGAAAAGGTTAACGTCGGAGTATGTGACAGCGCTATCTGTATCTCCCTGTTAGGAGGGTGAGCCGGGAGCTGCCGTTCGCTCCGTATCTTCTCCGAACTCGACAACAGGAGTTGGTCTGTCCAGAGATTACGACCTCTGACGTGGCCAAAAATTTACCAAACAAGCTACTTTGTTCTCATTCCTCTTTCTGTTTTGTCAACTGATGTTTTTTAAAATCACTTCAGTGGTAGTGATAGTCTTGGAGCTTTAAATACACCGTTACTCGATGAACTTGTTGCTTGCCTTATTCTTCAGACAGGCTGAAAGCACGCAATGAGAGAAACTCTGTCTGGGCGTTCAGATCCTAACCGTGTTTGCCGTCCGTAAAAGCTGCATTTCAAGATCAGGCCCGAGGGTCTGTGTTTTTCGGTGTTTTCTCCTCAACAATAGCCACAGCCTGGTGCGTGGGGAAGAGCAAGAACAGGGCAAGCATATCTGATGCTTCCCCCGCATAATCTCCCAGCCTCCAGCTGTTTTCGGCTCAGGGGGGGTTTCCTGAGCTGGAAACAACCCTCAGTGGTTTTCTTTTTCACCAACTTGTCCCTCCTTGAGCGGAGGTAAACCCCTTCTGTCTTGCTAAATGAAGGGCAACTCCTGCCACCGCCTCTGTTCCAGTCGCTGGGGTGGGAAATAGGAAGCCTGCTGCCCTC